CGAACCCGCGTCCCCTGCATCGGCAGGCGGACTCTCAAGCACTGCGCCACCAGGGAAGCCCTTGATTAACTTTTAAACTAAAATACAGGGAGGGACTTCCCTGGTGGTCCAGTGGCTAAGACTCCATGCTCCCAATGCACGGGGCCCAGGTTCGATCCCTGGTCAGAGAACTAGATTCCACATGCTGCAACTAAGACCCAGTGCAGCCAAATAAATAAATAAATAAATATTTAAAAAACACACACACAGAAAACCCAGGGAATTCTGGTGGTCTAGTGGTTAGGACTCTGCACTTTCACTGCTGAGGGCCAGTGTTCAGTCCCTGTCGGGGAACTAAGATCCCACAAACCATGTGGCGAGGCTTAAATAAATAAATAAAATAAAATACAAAACAGAAAGAAAAAAAAAAAGCATTCTAGAAAAGCCTCTCATTTGGGTAATATTCCAAATGATGCTTAATGAGGGCTGTGCACCTAGCACCAATTACAGATCATAAATTATACGCTTCGGTATTACAGGGTGCAAGTTATCAGAGTACTTTTCAAAAACTACATAAATTCCTAAGACCTAGCAGAGCCTGCAGGGTGGAAGAAGAGGTGTAAAACCTTTCCAGAGCTACCTGCTACAGGCTAACTCCTGCAGTCCAAGATCATTTTCTCCCACAGTAATTTTACAGGAATAGAAAAAGAGCATTCTAAATTTTCTGAGGTAAGAAAATGTCTTTCCTTATCTTTTAGACTTAAAATTATAAGACATGTTTTCTTTTTGAACTACTTATTCCCGCTGGCCCTGGAGGTGACTTCCCCAGCCCACGAGCCCCCCGCAGGTCTCCTCCGCCCTTTAGTTCTCCCACTCAGCATGCAGAGTCTCACCCTCTCATACTCATCCTTGGCTCTGCTTAGCATCTCCAGGATGTCGATGGGCCTGTGGTCACTGCAGCCGTTGGCCTGGCTGGGACTCTGCTTATCCCGAGCTGCTTGCTGGGACCGCCGTGTCTCCTCTTCTACCACGCTACAGGAGGAGAACCAGGTTTTAGAAAGACCTCTTTTGACACAATCTGACCCAAGAACTCTTTTGGTGTCCATCTTCCAAGGATACAGGAAGAATGCCTGCCACATGGTAGCATTGTCCTCACAATACAAAACAGAGCCTCGGTTACCCCATCCCAGGAGTATTCGACTACCTACTTCACCACCTCACTCACAACAGTACCAACCAATATATTTCACTGTCAGAAGGCCAAAAATACACAATTCCTTTCCAGAGTGGGTAGAAGTAGGTACCTTTAAAACTCTACTGAATTATCTCATTCTCTCTCTTTTTTAAAAGTATCTCAAAATCAGTCAAACTAACTGGTGAAGTAAATTTGAAAATGGACAATGCCACCAAGACAAAGGAAGGCTGCACAGTTGAACAACCCCTGGGGAGAGTGTGTATTGATAATGGGGTAGCAAGGAGAAAGATCAGCTTCTTGAAAACGGAGGTCTTGGTGAATCTTCAAAAGTTAACAATAGCACTACAAGCAAACAAAAGATTTCCCTTGTTCTCTCCTTAAAAAATCACTAAGTGGGTGACTGAGGTTAGGGTGACTGTGGTGATGCTCTTTACTTTGATTGGTGCTGCTTAAGCTAATTCTGCACTTGAAAATATATAAAGCATGAAAAGTCAAGGTCTAAGTCAAGGGTTGGGGTCTTCAAATCTATCTGAGGGGTTTCATTTCTTAGGAACATCCTCTCTTCCCTGCCACATATTAAAAGTCTGAAGCAATTATAGCAAAATGTGAGAAACTGAAAGCTGGGTGGTGAGCACATGGATATTTTATTGTTTCTTATATTTTTCTTCAAGCTTGAAATAAAAGTAATAAATTTTAATGAGGCAACTAGTCTTTTTTTCTTTTAAAGATCCATTCAGGTTTCAATCCCAACTGTAATGAATAGGCCTACCTGCCATGGGATATTATAGGTACAGTCACAACTTGATAATCATATCAATTGAGAACTTTCAGACAGTGATGATGACAGGCAATAAAACAATTCAGTAGCAAAAGGCTTGTTTTTATGGACTAAGAGGAGCAGGACAACAACAGGCCACCCAGTGTCAGCTTTACTGCTTTAAAACAGCCTGTCCAGGAACTCCCAGTAGTGTGTGTGGGATGGTTCTTTTATTTGAAAATACTGGGTTAAACAATATTAAACAGATTTTTTTTTTAAACAGCAAAAACATTCTGAGTTTTTAACATGCTAAAATGTATTACGATTCTCCAAGGATGGGCTTATAGATTTCCCCAAATTTATTTGACCATAGAATCTCCTCTTGAAGCAGGATTCTTATTTGGAAAATGCTGCTTTAAGGTAATGGTGTCGTTTCTCTATTTAGATTCTTACAGCTCTTAATAGGATTATTATTTATAAAACAAATGTAGAATCATGGACTTGACGGCAGACTGAAAGAAGACAGGCATGTGATATGAGGATCAGACCAATTAGAATATTGTTTCATTTATATCCATACTGGTAATCAACTCTTGGGAAAGAAATACTGTACTGTGACAACTGTGAGGCCTGTTGCAAAGGAAAAAAAGACTGGAGAGATAGACATTGGTTCTTTCTTTCTTTTTTTTTTTTTTTTTTTTTTTGGGGGTACGCGGGCCTCTCACTGCTGTGGCCTCTCCCGTTGCGGAGCACAGGCTCCGGACGCGCAGGCTCAGCGGCCAATGGCTCACGGGCCCAGCCGCTCCGCGGCATGTGGGATCCTCCCGGACCGGGGCACGAACCTGCATCCCCTGCATCGGCAGGTGGACTCTCAACCACTGCGCCACCAGGGAAGCCCATTGGTTATTTCTTGATGGTAGATTACAAGCAATTTCACTTTCTTTTTTTGTACTTCTCTTCATTTTCCATAATTAACAGGCACTCTTTTAATAATCGGAAAAAAGAGTACTATTAAAAATGACTAATTAGTTAATATTCAGTTATAGGCCACATCAGCCTGAATCCACCTTCTTGCTCTCCTACAGAGCTTCTCAGTTCTTATTAACACCTTTTGGAATAAATCAATTTTTTACTTGAAGAATTTTTATTATATTGCGGCTATCAAAACAGTGATAAGAACTAGACTTAACAGAATGGGCAATAACGGGCACTTTTATTTAGATGCACAATATGCCCAAAAGAATTTTACCTGTATTTCTGGTTAAGAGAGGTGATATTCTGAAATATGTAGCAAATAGAGGCTGTATCCAGGCAAAGTTAGAGCAAAGAAGGATAAAGTAACCTTTTTATCTTTGGTGACCAGAACACCATTTATCACAAAGTTAATGTTAACATATTAGGTATTCTCTTCAGCCATAAATAGGCCAGACACTTGAAAACTCACTATCAACAGTTTCATGAGGGCATTCACTAATCAGTTTCAATACCACCCCTGCTTCTAGTAAAACAAGCTTAAACCGTAAGCAAATGTCCCTCTTTTGGGCATTTCTAGTGAAGGAACCCTGAATGTCCTTCTTTTTCCTTTCTGCTTCCTGTTTCTACTTCCTCATCCTATTTCTAGGCTCAATACAATAGTTTCAGATAGGCCTTCAGTCTTCTGTTTTATCTACATTCTGAAGTCTTGCCTTAGGTGTACCACCCGCCCTGAGAGAGAAAAAAGCTCAAAATGGTTTCCTGCAAATAGCTGTTAGTGCTGCAAGAGCCAGATTCTCTCACTTTGGGCCCAAAAGCTCTCAATCTGCAGGAGAAAGTCTATATATTAATATATTCTAAAGCACAGATATTTAAGAAAAATATTCTGGATTTCAGGACAACCAAGAATCAACAAATCTTTGTCTTCTAAGTTATCAGAAGCTGCCTCTGCTGTCACTTTCAGAACTACAAAATAGTCAAATAAATGGGTTTGTAAAAAAAAGTTTATTATCTTTTTTTTTTTTTTTTAGAGAAAAGTTGTTCTAAAAAGAAAGTCTGGTTCTAGAGAGCCAACAACACATTTTCAAATGAATGACACAAGTTCGTAAGGAACAATGTCCTTGGGGTACACACAGTAATAAACATGGCCTGCCAGTGGCTCATAGCTACAGCAAACAAAGCAGGAAGCAGATAAACATCCAATTGAGACATGTTAGCAGTCCTGGACTAAAACGTGGCCTTAGCCATGTGCACTTCTTTTAAAATGCAAATATACCTGGAACTGAGATTGTGGGCCTAATTATTTACACTTTTACAAGAATTAGTTTAAAATCAGACTGTTAAAAAGAAAATTAAGACTATTTCCCCCCAGGCATGTAGGTAAAAACATTGCAGGAGAGCAAAGGGAATTTTGATTTGACAGAGGGGAAAGAGAGGTCTGCATTTCTGAGGAGATTCAGGCAAAAATTGCAAAGGAAATGTAAGTGCACCAGAACTTGCCACCCACTGCAACAGTTTGTCCAGAGCTCTGTAGCACCTCAGGCCCCTCTAGCACCTAAGTGTCTTGGGCTCCCAGAAACCAGAATGGCAATACCAGCAATACAGATAAGCCACATGAGGGGTGGCTTCTGTGGGCCAGTCTGAGAAAGGTCGATGAACCATCCCTCAGATCATCAATCCAATGAAAATTACTTTCCAAATTCCAAGATTCTGGTTTATAAGAACTCTCCTGGAACATAATCCATTAGAGGATTGGGGACTACTAAACCTAGAATCTGTGTCAAAAATAAGTTCTCTTAAAGGAAGTAGCCATGGATGTGTGCACAAATTCTCTATCAGTTACTGAACACAGTTCCACCTGCTACAGTGGAAATCTGGAGAGAACCTAAGTCAGATCCACTGCATGTGGTGGTTAGGCTGTGCACTGGATATAGAGGATACCCTCTGGAGCTAGGCAGTTCAATGGCTCTAACCACATGTTTAACAGTTAAATTATGATCTGTCTGCAGGACTGAATACAATGCAGTCATTATAAATACTAGAATGCCCTGGAAAAATGCTGTTGACATGAAAAGTAGGATGTACAGTATGATCTTACTTTTTTAAGTGTAAAGAAAAAAGTGTTGCTTGCCATTCCAGTTCAAGAAACATCAAGTCTATAGCTACTGTAGTTGCCCACAGAGAGTGTGCCCTGAGAGGAATTCAGAATGGAGAAAAACAGGAAACATTCTGTGCTTTGGAAATACTGGTCCTTAGATTAAGATGCATATCTAAGGAATCATTTCAATGACCCCAGATTCTTGCATCTTCTCATACATAGAAAAGCACTAAAATCATCAACTTGAGATGTCTGTTCTTTGCTACTGGCAGTAATCTTTTGATGCTTGACTACATGTTTTTCTCAGCAAAGCGGTTCATATATCCTCATTCTTTTGGCATTCCATTCTCTAGCTCCCTTTTTTCTTTTCTTTTTTTAAAGTATTTTAAAATTCTTGTTACTATTGCTGAGGGTCATATTTTGAATTCTTTTTTTTCTTACCTTTTTGGTTTAAAAACCAAGTAGTCTTTAGCTGGTTTCAATTATGTAAATATATTTTCCTCTTGGTGGTAACATCTTAAGTAGATGATTTTTTTCTGATGTATATATATATAAAAAAAAGTTCATATATATCCTGGCTCCTCCTTTACCTCCTGGGAGCAGTTCCTCAGAGCTCTCTGAGAGGCTATCTCCCAGGCTATAGTGCTCAGTAAGGTCACTGAATAAAAATTAACTCACAACTTTTATGTTGTGCATTGTTCTCTCAGTGGACATAAGAAACAATCACACACATCAACCCAAGGTACACGTAAAGAAAAAGACTGGAATGAAACAGACAAAAACGGTAATGCTAGTAGTAGTAGGATTATAGATAATTTTAGATTTCTTTAAGCTTTGCTGCCTTTTTCAAAACTTTGACAATAACAGGAAATCAGGGGAAAATACATGAGTTAGTGGACTCCAGTAACAAAGAGAAAGGGGAAAAGTCATTTTTTCATCTCCCATATATCACTAATTAAATCTATGGTGTAAACAGAAATACTTACTCGGCCATGAGTTTGGCTATGCGATGACAGTCATTCTTGTCATAAAACCAGATACTGTATATTGACACTTGAAAAACAAAGAAAAAAAGATAAGGGGAAATGAGGTTTCAATACTCGGGTAATATGTAAGTAATATATTATCACCATAAAATGTCACAGAATTTACCATGAGGACCTCAAACTGTTAACAGTTACTCTAAAGAAAAAAAAAAGCCTCCCCACAAACTGTTTAATAATAAAGTTATTAATAAAATTAGGACAGCTAAAATATTCAGATGAAAATTGCAAAAAGAGTTGGTTTTAGACATCATTACCAGATCTCATCAAGCTTAAGATGCCACTAAAGTACAAGATAAACTATTATTTTATGTATTATCAAGAAAAAAAATGCTGCCAATTAAACTAAGAATTAACATTGATTGTCTGCAAAGGGAACGTTGCCTACCATTCCAGTAAATATCATATGTTGCCCTAGCCTGTCATCAAGCCATCAGCCACTGCAGTGCCCCCTACCCCGCTATGGTGAGCCCTAAGGCAAATTCAGGATGGAGACAAACAGCAAACATTGTGTGCTCTGGATACTGGCCCTAGATAGTTGCATATCTAAGATGCCTATCTAAGGAATAATTTCAATGAGCCCAGACCTTGCATCTTCCCATACACACAAAAGCACAAAAATCATTAACTTGAGGTATCTGTTTTTTGTGATTAGCAGTAATATTTTGATGTTCAACTACATGTTTTCAGCAAAAACTCCTACATATCCTGGCTCCTCCCTTACCTCTTTGGAGCATTCTTCAGTTATCTGAGAAGCTATCTCCTGGGCAATAGTCCTCAGAAAGGTCTCAATAAAATTTAACCTGCAACTTTTAGGTTTTGTTTTCCTTCACTTGATAATTGTAAAATGCTTTCCAAATTGATAGTCAAATATGGGGAAAAAGGTGTCTTAATAGTTGAAAACCACGTTCCAAAACCAAACACCAGAACCTTTATGAGTCTCTTGAAATTTAAAAATATAAAATTAGTACCACATTACAGTAAAAACAAAGCTTTAAAGAACAAACACCAACTCCAGACCCATCCTATGATCGACTCTATTCACACGTGAAATGGAAGTGCCCAGGCTGAGCTCCATATCACACTTCTTTTCCAATCTTTTATTCCCAGTATGGTGATTACCACTAAGAAAGCCCCCACAAAACACTGAATAATAAACAAGCTCCTGCTGTATAGCACAGGGAACTATATTCAATATCCTGGGATAAACCATAATGAAAAAGATAATAAAAAAGAATGTAGGGCTTCCCTGGTGGCGCAGTGGTTGACAGTCCGCCTGCCGATGCAGGGGACACGGGTTCGTGCCCCGGTCCGGGAAGATCCCACATGCCACGGAGCGGCTGGGCCCGTGAGCCATGGCCGCTGAGCCTGCGTGTCCGGAGCCTGTGCTCCGCAACGGGAGAGGCCACAACAGTGAGAGGCCCGCGTACCGCAAAAACAAAAACAAAACAAAATAACGTATATATGTATATAGCTGAGTCACACTGCTGTACAGCAATTAACATTGTAAATCAATTATACTTCAATTAAAAAATAAAGAAAAACACTGGTGAATGGATAGATGAACTTTATTATAAAGATGACTAAATATAAAACTACTGTAAATACTTTTTAAAAAATATTAATTTATTTATTTCTATTTATTTATTTTTGGCTGCGTTGGGTCTTCCTTGCTGCACACGGACTTTCTCTAGTTGCGGTGAGCGGGGGCTACTCTTCGTTGCGGTGCGCAGGTTTCTCATTGCAGTGGCTTCTCTTGCTGTGGAGCACGGGCTTCAGGAGTTGTGGCACGCGGGCTCAGTAGTTGTGGCGTGCGGGTTCTAGAGCGCAAGCTCAGTAGTTGTGGCGGATGGGCTTAGTTGCTCTGCAGCATGTGGGATATTCCCAGACCAGGGCTCAAACCCTTGTCCCCTGCATTGGCAGTTGGATTCTTAACCACTGTGCTACCAGGTAAGTCCAAAACTACTGTAGATGCTTTTTTAAAAAAAATTTATTTTATTTATTTATTTTTTATTTTTGGCTGTGTTGGGTCTTCGTTGCTGCACGGGCTTTCTCTAGTTGTGGTGAGCGGGGGCTACTCTTTGATGCGGTGCATGGGCTTCTCATTGTGGTGGCTTCTCTTGTTGAGGAGCACAGGGCTTCAGTAGTTGTGGCACGTGGGCTCAGTAGTTGTGGTGCACAGGCTTAGCTGCTCCACGGCATGTGGGATCTTCCCAGACCAGGGCTCGAGCCTGTGTGCCCTACATTGGCAGGTGGATTCTTAACCACTGCACCACCAGGGAAGCCCCAGATACTTTTTGAATTTATTTTTTTACTTGAATTTTTAATTTTTATACAATTTTTAAAGGTTACTTTCCATTTACAGTTATTACAAAATTTTGGCTGTATTCTCTGTGTCGTACATATAAATACTTTCTGGATAAGGTAGATATACTGAATATATAAGTCAAAATAAACATAGCGATAGGCATGGCTCATTGCTACCATGTGCATCCACTGTGACACAGCACATCCCGGGTTTCACCCCCTTTCATACTTACTGTGACTCTCTGGCACAGGAAGGGCAGATATGCTTTTATTTTTTTAAATTAAACTTTTAGTTTTGAAATAATTGTAGCTTAACATGCAACTGCAAAAAATAAACAGAGATCCTGTGTGCCCTTTGTTTGTTCCAGTGGTAACAGTTTGTAAAACTATAACATAATATCACAGCCAGACTACTGACATTGATAAAATCAAGATACAGAACATTTTGGGACTTCCCTGGTGGCCAGTGGTTAAGACTCTGCCCTCCCAATGCAGGGGGCCCAGGTTCGATCCATGGTCAGGAAACTAGATCCCACATGCATGCCACAACTAAGAGTTCACATGCCACAACTAAGGAGCCTGGAAGCCACAACTAAGGAGCCCACCTGCTGCAACCAAGACCCAGCAAAACCAAATAAATATTTTAAAAATATATATTAAAAAAAAAAAGATACAGAACATTTCTGTAGCCACAGGGATCCCTGTTGCTCTTTTATTGCCACACCCATCTCCCTTGGTACCCCTCCCCCATCTCTGACCCCTGACAAGCACACTAATCTGTTCTCCATTTCTATAACGTTGCCATTTCAAGAATGTATTATAAATGGAATCATAGAGGATGCAACTTTTTGCAACTGACTTTTCTGTCTCAACATAATTCTCTGGATATTCATCTAAGTTGTTGCTTGCATCAATAGTTTGTTCCCATTTTTTGCTGAATAGTATTTCATGGTATGGATGTACTAGTTTATTTAACCATTTTTCCACTGAAGGACATCTGGAGTGTTTCCAGTTTTTGGCCATTATGCATAAAGCTGCTATGTTCAGGTATAGGTTTTTTGTTTGTTTGTTTGTTTGTTTGTTGTGGTATGTGGGCCTCTCACTGTTGTGGCCTCTCCCGTCGTGGAGCACAGGCTCCAGACGCACAGGCCCAGTGGCCATGGCTCACGGGCCCAGCCGCTCTGCGGCACGTGGGATCTTCCCGGACGTAGGCACGAACCCGTGTCCCCCGCATTGGCAGGCGGACTCTCAACCACTGCGCCACCAGGGAAGCCCTCGGGTATAGGTTTTTGTGAACCTAAGTTTTCATTTCTCTGGGTTAAATGTCCAAAAGTACAGTTACTGAGTCACAGTAGTTGCATGTTTTTTAAAGAGAAACTGTTAAACTGTTTTCCAGTTTTACAGTGGATGACACATCTAGTCTCTCTGCATCCTTGCCAGCATTTGTTGTTCCATTTTTAACTTTATGCATTCTGATAGGTGCATAGTGGTAACTCATGGTGGTTTTAATTTACATTTCCCTAATGGCTAACATTACCGAACGTCTTTTCCCCTGCCTGTCATTTGTATATCCTCTCTAGTCAAATGTCTGTTTATGTCTTTTGACCCATTGGATTGTTTTTTAAACTGCTGATTTGAGAGTTCTTCATATATTCAATATACCAGTCCTTTGTCAGACTTGTGGTTTGAAAATATTTTCTCCTTTGTCTGTAGTTTTTTTTCATCCTCTTCACGAGGTCCTTCCAGAGCAAAAGTTTTTAATTCTGACAAGGTGCAATTTATGAGTTTTTCCTTTTATGGATTATGCTTTTGATGTCAAGTCTAAAAACTCTTTGCTGACCCCTAGATTCAAAATTTTATCCTGGGCTTCCCTAGTGGCGTGGTGGTTAAGAATCTGCCTTGCCAATGCAGGGGACAGGTTTCCAGCCCTGGTCCAGGAAGATCCCACATGCTGCGGAACAACTAAGCCCGTGCACCCCAACTGCTGAGCCTGCGGTCTAGAGCCCATGAGCCACAACTACTGAAGCCTGAGCGCCTAGAGACTGTGCTCTGCAACAAGAGAAGCCACTGCGATGAGACGCCCATGCACCGCAATGAAGAGCAGGCCCAGGCCCTGCTATCTAGAGATCGCCTGTACGCAGCAATGAAGACCCAAAGCAGCCAAAGGTAAAATAAAAAAAAAAAAAAAAAAAATTTTTATCCTGTGTTTTTTCCCTAAAGGGTTTATAGTTTTACATTTAAAATGGTGATCCATTTTGAAGTTTTTTGGGGGAAAAAAAGGTTTAGGTTAAGGTTCTTTTTTTCTTTTTGGTGCAACTGTTCCAGTATTATTTGTTGAAAATGCTCTCTTCTATTGAGAAATCTTTTGTACCTTTGTCAAATATTAGTTGGGCATATTTGTGTGTGTCTATTTCTGGATTCTTTATTCTGTCCTATTTATTTGTTTATCCCTCTACCAACACCACATCATCTTGATTACTGCAGCTATATATAAGCTTTAATATTGGGAAGAATAATTCCTCCACTTTATGCTTCTTTTTCCAAGATTGTTTTAGCTTCTAGGGTCTGTGTCTTTCCATATAAATTTTAGAATAAGTTTGTCTATGCCTAAAAAAATCCTTGCTGGGATTTTGACAGGACTTGGGAAGAGCTGACATCTTTAGTATGTCAAGTCCTTCAATGCACAAATATAGCACATCTCTC